TATCTTTTAAAAAAAAGAATCAGTAATTTTTCTTGTTTTATGATAATATATGTGTATGTAATTTTTTTTTACCCTAAGTCCAGATTTACTTATTTTTTCTCTTCTAGTTTTGTTACTTCTATCCAGATTTATTTTGTTGATTGTTTTCTACCGTTTGATCATTGAATGTTGTTATTTATGCATCTCATATTGATTAGAGTTTCCACACATTGAGAGTTGTAGCCGAATGGTATCTTTAAGAGGTAAAAATCATTTTCTCATAGAATTTAGGGTATGAGAGAGTTTGCATACAAATCTCTTATTAGGGCTGTAGACTTTTTTCTTCTGCTGCTTTTTCTTTTACCTAGATCAGTATTTAAAGTATTTTGAAATAGTGGCTGATGTTTAATTAGGGAGGATTCACAGAAGAATCTGGAATTTTTTGCATTCTTGAATGATTACTTGATTTGGCAGATTTTTGGTAACAATAGGCTAGAGCTTTTAAATAGATGCTGTCACTTTTCGCTGGGCTTTGTCCTCTCCATCTCAGTTGAGCTCCTTTCTACTTTGTTTTCCATACTCTGAGGCTAGCCTCATTGGTTACTCTTATCATCAGGCTTCTTCTTTGTGTTTCTTATGCGGGAGCAGTTCTTCATATTTATGCTACCTGCCTGGCTCCTGTCAGTAATTCAGTTTGTGTCCTCTGAAGTAAAGAGTGCCAGTGATACTGGAGTTACATCATTTCATTAAAAGTTAATTTGTTTCAAGTAATAGAGTAAATATAATTTGCATTTTCATAAAACCATGGGGATGTGTACTCATAGGCGGGCATGTGTGTTGTATGTGTTGGGTATATTTAGACAGTACAAAAGGGGGTCATATTTGAAATACTCCACTCAAACCTACCATACCCATAGGCATTGCACTCCGCTGATCAGATTCTGTGCTGTACCCCTTCTTGTCTTTGAAGTAAATGTGAGTGTGGTGGGGCTAGGAACTTAAGGCCCCGGCTCACCCCAGCCCACTGGAATCCAACCCCTGTTGCAGGGGAAGGGGCCCTGTGAAAATACCATGTACATGCCATCTGTAGCTGTTTGAATATTTCTTTATACAAAGAGATGTTTTGTGGAAAACTGCTTTGCAACTTCTTTCCCTAAGCCGTCTATCTCGGGACATCTTTTCATATCAGTACATTTCTTTCTACTTCGTTCTTCATAATGAATCTCATGTAATTTGTTATTTGTGTGTTCCACAGTTAATTTGACCAGCCTCTCTTGTTGAACAGATAGGTATTGTCTATGGTTTGGTATTTTAAATAATGCCATAATGATTGCCACTGTACATGTAGATGTGTTTGCTTCCTTGTGTTATATATTCAGGGGGTAAATTTCTAGAAATGGGATTACTTAGTTGAAGACTATGATTTAGAAATTTTCATAGCTAGCTAATGCCAAATAGTTATCTAATTTCTATTTTGTTAAAGAGTATTTGGCAATGTCTTTTTCCTGCACCTGCACTCTGTCTGCATAGACTATCACATTTTATTGGTCTTTAAGTGGAAAATGGAATTTTGAAATTTAGGATTGAATTTGAGTGTCTTTTCAATGTGTTTTCTAGCCATTTGTATTTCTTTTTCTGTGAACTCCTGGTTTTGTTCATTTTTAATTTAATATTTATAACTTTGACCTTTTGAAGTTATTTTGATTTTGGAGGTCCAATTTTTAAACTTAGATTCCAATATCTTAATAGGTAAGCCATTGTTTTATTTCTCTTTCACATTTTTTTCTTGAAATGTCCTTTTATTGTATGTTTGATTTCTTTATATGTTCAAGAACATTTCAAGAACATAGTTTTGTCCCACTGATCTATTTCAAATTATTTAAATTCCCAAAGTTTTATAAACATAGTTTCATATACTCACTAAAATTATGAATATGTAATGATTATGGATTATATAGATGTTTTAATACTCTAAAATTTTATAGTTTTAAGAAAAAAACCCTTTATTTTGTTTAAATGGCATTTCTTTGTTATAGTTAGAATAATGCAAGGAAGAAAGCAAATAGAAATACTACCAAAAAAATCATCACTGGTGTTAAAGAAAATCATTTTTGATATTTTTATGTGCTTATATATAGGTAAGAGGGTAGAAAAGTAGCTTGATAGAAATAATACTGTGAAACATGAGGAAAATATGTTAAGTTTAATTTTAAACAAACTTACTGAAGTAAAATGAAAGAAATGACTTAAATCTACACATAACTTTCTTTAAATTGTCCATCTAAGTTCATGAAGAGATTAAAAGGTATAATGACGGCAATCTTGAATTTTAGTCAGTGTTGAGTGACTCTATTTTAAAAAAATAAGGAGTCTGACCACTCTTGTCCTTTATTCCATCTCCCTTTCACTTATCTGTTGTTTTTTAATAAATCAAATTTCTACCCATCCATTGAGATTCTTTTCTTATTATCACATTCACATAATTACACAATTGTCCAGCCTTGGTTCTATATTTAAAGACTTAGGGCTCAGCCAAATGGCTGCAATGACACTGTCCGTTTGTCTGGTGTTTTTAGTCTTTTAATTGCCTAAATTTTATGGAAAGTGTTTTTCTTTTTCCAAGAATGATTCATTAGTGTCATAGACTTAAAATTGTTTTTTAATTTGCAATATTTAAAGAATTCTTTAAGCTTGAGTAAACATGTGTCTCATATAATATCCTTAGAAAACCACTTTTCTCTCTCAGAACAGTGTGGGCTTGGCTTTGTTATCTTCGGGTCTTTAATGTGATGTTCCTTTACAAAAAGATATGTCCCCATCCCCCTCACATTTTTGTACCAGTTGTCCACACATTCATTCTCCTTTGAATTTCAGTGGTTTAAACTGGGTGATGCTCTGTGTGCATGTTTGTGTGTTTGTTTTCCAAATTTTTCTTAACACACAGTACATTCTTTTTAACATGCATATTTAATTCTATAAGAAATGTTGTACAATTTTATATGATTTATATTCATTTGATTTTTGTTCTTCAGAGTCACCCGGTGTCCCTGTTGATTTTGCATCGATTAACTTTATATTCAATTTGTCTTTTTTCCCTTTTATTGATGGCGTTGGTAATCGAGCCTTCTTGTTTTAAATTTTAATTATTTATTTAATTTTTGTTGCCCTGGGTCTTTTCCTTGCTGTGTGTGAACTTTCTCCAGTTGCAGTGCCTGGGCTTCTCTTTGCTGTGGCCTCTCTTGTTTCAGAACACGGCTCTTGGGCATGAGAGCTTCAGTAGTTGTGGCTCATGGGCTGTAGACTGCTGGCTCAGTAGTTGTGGAACACGGGCTTAATTGCTCTGTGTCATATGGAATCGTCCTGGACCAGGGATTGAACTCATGTTCCCTGCATGGGCAGGCGGATTCCTGTCCTCTATACCACCAGGGAAATCCTCTTTGTCTTTTTTTTTCCTGATCATATCAAGTTCCAATTGTTCATTTACCTAATTTTTTGTTGTTCTTATTGCATGTACACTTAGTTTCTTGCCAATTCTAATTTATTATTTTTCTCATGACACATTTTTTTACTCTTTTTATTTCCTTGGGTCTGCAGTTTCATTTTCTCATTCTGTCATTCTATCCTATTAATATAATCTCTCAGCTCTTATTATGATTGAATTCATTTTTTATTTAAGCTGAAGCACAGTGTGAAATGGGCTTCCCTGGTGGCTTAGTGGTAAAGAATCCGCCTGCAGGAGATGCAGATTCAATCCCTTGGTTGGGAAGATCCCCTGGAGAAGGAAATGACAACCAACTCCAGTATTCTTGCCTGGGAAATTTCTTGGACAGAGGAGCCTGGCAGGCTACAGTCTATGGGGTCGCAAAAGAGCCAGACGTGACTTAGCAACTAAGCAACAACAGGGTGAAACATTTGTATAAAGACTCTTTTTCTGTTCACCTCAGTTGAGGTGTTCTTCATTAGCTAGCTTCTGACATTTTGCATCTTTCCTTTATACCTCTATTTGGATTCATGACTATCTTTCTGGGACTTGTACTGATTACCCCTCAGGGTGTAGGGAAGCACAGGGAAGTTTATGGGCTTTGGTCAATTCATTGCACAGTTCTGGAACTTTCACTTCTGACAGAGAATATCCGCCACATGCTTCACTTCTCTAGTTTTGCCAGTTTTGGTCTCGTTTGCTTCTCCCCAGACTTGGGGTGATAAGTGCAAGTAAAAGTATGTTTTTGGTGTACCAGTCCTGACTGTGGGCTCTAGGCGTCTGGGAGAGGGTCAAGAGCAGCCATGTATTATTCTTGATCCTGCTTGGAAAGGAATCTTTGGTTTCTTCTCATGGCCGCTGGCTTTGGTAGTTTGAGGTGATGAATGTTCTTTCCATGGTTAGTTGCTGTAGGGCACGACTAGGCAAACTATAACCCATAGGCCAAATTTGGCCCTGCCACCTGTTTTTGTAAATAAAGTGTTATTGGAACACAGCCACACCCATTCATTTACATATTGTCTGTGGCCAGTTTCATGCTTCAGAGACACAGTTGAGTAATTGTGACAGAAACCAGATGGCTAGCAAAGCCTAAAATATTTCCTATCTGCCCTTTAACAGGAAAAGTATGCCAGACCTGCTGTAGGGTAATTTTATTTCTTGCTGGTTTTTAACTATATTTTCTTTCAGTGTTTTAGAAGTTATAGATGTAGGAATGCTCCTTCATTATACTGTCTTGACATAGAAGTTGCTATAATGCTGATTTTAAAATACTCGAGGAATAACATAACTATCATGTTTTCTCTTATACTATGTTTGAAATTACAAAAATAAAAGTTAGTTGGGTTAGTTCAGTTTATTTGATATGAGTGATTTTATCTTACCAGGTAACTTCTAGCAATAAATGAAATTATTCACATCATTTCTCTTTAATGATGTCTTTTTTTTTCCTGAGTGAGAGTAAAACAGATATTTAATTACAGCAGCTTTTCTGGAAGATGATTTGATTTTACAATTTCCTCTCTTTTGCACTTTTTCAAAGGTATAAGCGGTTTTGCAAGACTTTGAACGACATTGGAGAGAATGAAGGTGGTATTGATAGGTTTTCCAGAGGTTATGAATCATTTGGCGTCCACAGATGCGCTGATGGTGGTTTATACTGCAAAGAATGGGTCCCAGGAGCTGAAGGAGTTTTTCTTACTGGAGACTTCAGTAAGTATTTTAGAACCATTAAAGTCAGTTGTAACATTTCATTTATTTACTTAAAGCATAGATGTTATATATTTAACTTTATGAATATTATTGATTACAAATATTATACTTTTCAGATAGAGTTCATTGAGTTTCTTGAGTCTTTGCCTTTATGTGTGAAAAGTATTTCTGATTTGATGTGATACATGTATTTTTTAAAACTTTATATTCTATATAATCACATGCCAGAAATAACAGTTTTTGAGAAAAATTGTGTTTAGGCAGACTACTCCCAATTTACTCAACCTTGTTAGCAAGCTCTGACAAAGCCAATACCAATTTAGGTGAAGATATTGGTTTAGGTTCAGTCTCCACTAACATTTGCTCCTGGTTATTTGACATCATAGTTCTTGCATCCTCTCATCTTTTTGTGAGACCTCAGTAAATGTAAACTTCTAAATTAGAGGGTTAACTTCTTCATCAGTCAATTCTTTGTTTTTTCCCTTTCCTTTCTTTTTTTTAAATAACAGTGGGAAATATCTTCTCAGCCTTATTATCCGCACTGTTGATTTCACTAGACAAATAAGTGTAGTAGTTCTACAAGTCAGGCTTCTAGCTTACAGTTTAGTAGAAGCCTTGTAAGTACATAACTAATATACAGTCTGCTCAGTTTTATTCTATAAGTATAAATAATGCACTGTAATAGTGACAGGGAAAGAAGCTCAATTTTGAAAATGGAATAACTGAAAAACTAAGCCTTGGCAAAATGTTCATAATACAAGGAAAGGAAATATCAATAATAGTGATCCTTTAGCACCATAGGATACTATGGTCTTTGAAGTTTGATTTTCCTGGACTCAGAGGTCTATATGCCATCCTGTTGTGGAAAGATCAAAACTATAGGGACAGAAAACTGGGTTGTCAGGGTTTGGGGGTAGGAGGTGTGAGTTGACAAGTTGATAAGAAACTTAAGGAGACATTTTTTTGGGGTAATGGAAACGTTTTATGTTGTGATTGTGTTGGTTTCATGATTGTATACAGTTGCCAGAATTTATAGAAGTATTCATATAAAAGGGTGAGTTTTACTGTGTGCAAATTATACCTTACGGAACCCGACTTTAAAAAAAGTTTTGATTTTATTTATATAGTCTAAGGCAGCACTGCCCAATAGAAATATAATGAGCATCATTTATATAAATATTTTCATGATAATAGTAAAAAAATAAAGGATAAAAACTGAATGAATTTTAATAATGATAGGTTTTTTTATTTAACCCTATATATCAAAATATATTTTAACATGTAATCAATGTAAAATTTGTTAGTGAGATATTTTCATTCTTTTGTATTGCTTCTTCTAAATCTGGTGGGTATATTTCCATTGGAAATATTTGATCTATATTTAGACTTAATGCCATTTGCAGTTTAAAGCGCATAGCCCAATTTTTCCAAACATTGTTAAAAGTTCTAGCAACTCAACTGAGTGGCAGTTTTAAAATTTACATTGAATAAAGTAATTAAAATTAAATAACACTTTAAATTTATTTTCTCAATTACACTAAGTTCATTTTAAGCAGTCAGTAGCCACTTTTGTTTAGTGGTTCTATTATTGAAAAGAACAGGTCAAAGGACTATAAGTTATTGTTTGTGTAGTCTCCAAAATTAGATGACATCAGCTTCCTGTGTTTCTGGAGAAGTTAGTGAAAGCTTTAGGGAATGTTTTAAGAAAGATCATGTGATCTGCTGACTCAGATTAACATGGCCCGGTGATTATTATCATTATTTTTTTTTATGACCCGGTGATTATTATGAAATATATTTTGAAGCTATCAGTCTTTTCACTTAAATTGTTAAAATTGTTATAATTTTTTCTTGTATATAAACATGACTATTTCCCCATATTCTCTGAGTGACTGTGTTGACTGCCAGCTTTTTGTTAATAGACTTGTTTTACATCAACCTATAATCAAGGTACTTTTGGGCATTATATTAGTTTTTTTTTAGTTTTATATTTTAGTTTTGTTTTTTTTACTGCCATTTATTGAGAGGTATTGCTTGAGAGTGTTTTTAGGTTAGAATTTTACATACAGATACCAAAAAAAAAAGTACTATAAGAATCTCAGTTAAAACTTGGTACTTGCATTTGGTAACCTCTCCCACATATTTATGATTGAATCCACTAAATAGGTTTTAGAGATATAAAAATGTGGGAAACTATATGAAACTATAGTTGGTAGCTATATACTTGTACTTTGTAAATCCAGTTAAGCCATGTGTATTTTGGAAATTGTATTAAAATTTTTAAGGAGTTTGGACTTAATGCTTAAATATTAAAAGTATAATAATTTATATAGTCTTTTGTAAAGAGAACACTAAAAATTATCTAGTTCCTCTTTTAGTGTAAAATAGCTTAACTTCTTTTGATCTAATTTGATTTTTGAAAATTCCACTCTTTGTGAAGATATGTCACATAATTTAAAATCTCTCCTTGTTATTGAAACAACACTCTGTCAATTATTTTCAATCAAGCAGTATTTATTTAGTGTCTAAGGGTAGGGAGAATATCAGATTTAATCCGTGGACCTTTATTTTTACCAGAGAGATAGGAATGGCTAATATAAATGAAACTGTGATAGAAGATAGGAAGTATGATAGAATATAGTTAACTGTTAAAATAATTAACAAGCAGTATGTCGGGAAAATTTAAATGTCTAATCTATTTACTTATCTAGACGAAGGTTTATTTATTTATTTATTTTTGTCCTGTATATGGTCTCAGAACGTGAAAGTGTTAGTTGCTCAGTCATGCCCAACTCTTTGGGTCCCCATGGACTAGAGCCTCTGTCCGTGGAGTTCTCCAGGCAGGGATAGTGGAGCGGGTACCTCCAGTATCTACTGTCTTCTCCAGGGGACCTTCCTGACCCAGGGCTCAAGCTCTGGTCCCCTGCACACACATTGTCCACTAGCTGAGCTACGGGGGAAGCCCCTCGGGGTCTCCTGATACTTGGGATCTCAAACTTTTCTCCCTGAAGAGCTTTGGCGCAGAAATAAATAAAAGCAACTTTCAAATTGACAGTAGGGCCAAAATTCTAGATTAATAATGCATTTAAAAATAGTATGTCTTTGGAAGAGAATGTTACACCGGAGTATAAACTTAATATGACTTTGCATAATACAGAATTTTGATGGTAGTGACAGCATAGCTGAAAATATACCATAAATTACTGAACTAAACATGTCTTTTTAAAAGACACAATTAAGGAATTCTCTATTTTGTTTTTCCCTTATTTACATAAAAATGTATTTTTTTATGTATCAAAGAGTAAGAAGAAAGTTATTTTTCTTTGTTAAGGTTTTTCTCAGCATCAAAAATGTGTTTGATTTTATAGTAGGTCTTCCGATGTATAAACGTACTAAACTGAAGTGGAAATACAATTTGTGTTAATTAGCTAAAAAAATTGCAGTTGATTTTTAAAATTAGAAAATGCAAATGAAGATTAATTAAAATTATTCTAGGTGCTTTGGTAATGATATTAAAATGTTTTTAAAAGCATTTAACTGTATTCATATAACTTCATATTTATCAGCTAAGTTGAAACAGCAGTAAACAAAAGATTCTATAGAAATAACTTTTAACTGTAACATGGTCATTTTTAAGAATTTATTTCCTTAATTTGTCATCTCATGTAACAGTAAGCTTAACTTTTATGTATATACTTAAAATATCACCTAAAATAAACCTTTTTTTTATGTATAGGTAGTGATGTAAAAAGTAACATAATTTTACTTATATGTTTTTATCATGAAAGTGTATACATATATAATTTAAAACATTGCTTTTGTACCTACCTCTTCCCTACACTTCCAAAGATAATATAAAACATATCTTCAAAAACCAGTATAGAAACCTTATTTCTGTGAAGGCATGAATTGACTGTTACTTGTATTTACAGTAACAGGAAAATAGTAAAAGGAAATGTTCTTAAATCAATTTTTATCTAAATCATTAACCATCTACTACTGATAATGTTTCAGAGGAAATGAAAATTAAAGACTGTGTAGACTTTAATTCTGTATTATAAGAAATTATACCAGTAGTCAAAATATGTTAGCATATTGTGATGTCTCTCTCCTCTCCTAATCATTGTAGAAATTGCACTGTCCTTTTCTATACTCATAGAACTGCTGGTAAATTTATGTTTTTCTAGCATATTTCTTTTGCCACCTGACCTGAAAATATTTTAGGTACAAATGCTTACTGTTATAAAATAGAAATGATCTTTAAGAAAGAATTACCAGGAGTTGGTGTGTAGAAGAAAAAAAAAAAAGAATGGCGTTTAGAGTTTGAACCCAAGTAGAGCTCTCGAAACTTGGTTCTTCATCTGGCTTAGTGGGGATAAAGGCAATGATATTCCTCTTACATCTCTAACTGGGTTGCTGTAGATACTAACTAGATTGCAAATGTGAAGACATTTTATACATCATTCAGTGCTACAGAAATCTTAATTGAAAAATTACGGTAATTTGCTAAGTTCTTTCTTTTTCTTATTTAAAAAATACGATTAATTTTAAAAGGCAGTTGAGCCTCGCAAAAATCAATGGATAGTCTCTGTGTTGCTCAAACTGAAGGAGCTCTGGCTTCTGCCATCCACATTTTTAAGACTCAGAAAGCACCTTCACTTTAAATATATTACACATATTTTTCTTCATTTTAGAGAAAATGAAACAATCATTTCTTTTCCTTTCAGTCATTTTTTTTTTTTTAACTAGCTTTTTAAAGCAGCTAGCAGCTGCTGCAGCCACCCAGGACAGGGGATATATAATGACATTCATCAAGATTGGAATCTTACCACCCAAAAAGTATTTCTGAGCCAGACAGAAGCTACTTTAACGGCTTGAGATGAGTTTCTGAAACTTTGAATTATCTTTAATAAAGGAAAGATTCATTCTTTAGAAAATTAAATGCAATTTAAAATATACTTGGGGTTTTAGAACTGAATCATGTTTATTGCAGTTTGCTA